GAGAAATCACCCCCCAGGGGAGATGGCCACGCCGCAATCCCTTCTCCTCCATTCTCCTCTCGGGATCTTGGGCACGTACACACGCGCCCAACGTGAGTTTTAAGCCACCGGGTCCGGGACGTGAACCGCGGTCGACTACGTGGGAGTCCAGCGACATAGCCATTATGGTAACTGCTGGTTCTCCAGGAGTAAAGGTTTTGAAATGTTTTTAAAAGAAAATGGGGGCAGTAGGTGGTGTGGTTAAGGAGCAGGACTCCCACATGGCCAGCCACAGTTTGAGTCCCAGACCCGGAAGCTTGAAACTCATGCCAGGTATGTGTGCGTGTGTGCCCAAAATCCCAGGAGGAGAATGGAGGAGAAGGGACTGTGAAGTGGCCACCCGGGGGGTGACTTGTCACTTCCCTCACTCTGGTGGGAGTACACGGCCTATGGTAAACCCTTAGAAGGAACCTAGGGAGGGGAGCCAGGCAGAAGAGGCTGCCTGGATGAAGCCCCAGCCCTGGGTGGGCTTGGCCAGGGCGCGAGGACGTGGGGCCAGCCACAGGCCCCAGCATGGCCAGACTGAGGCGCTACCGAAGCTTCGGAAAAACTTGGGGGTGCAGAGGAAATCTGTCTTTATTCTGGGCACCAGCAGGGAAGCCAGCAGAGTGTGGGGGACACTAAAGTGTGAGTGGTGGAGGGGAGGGCTGGGAAAAGCCAGCGACTGCTCCTTCCCGTCACCACCTCCCGCCTGGCTGCCGGGAGAGAAGGGCCAAGGTACGGGGCTGTTCGTGTGGCCCAGGATTCCGTCTGAGGCCTGCAGAGCGGGCAGAGGCTGGTGGGGCGGGCATCCCAGCCTGCTGCCCTCTCGAGTTGGCTAGGCGGCTCCTCCAGTCGTTCCTCACCCCAAGTCAAGGGAGAAGCAGACGCCAGGGTGGGGCCTCACAATCCCACTGTTCTCAGATTTAGGCCTGGCGTTCTCCTGCGTGACCGTGACCGGCAGGGCTCTCGCCGGGCAGGTGTCTCATTAGGACACTTGTTAGAGCCTGCTCAGACTCGGGCCGGGGGCTGCCCGTGGTGACGGTGGTCAGAGCCCTGCTGAGCAGCGCGGCGGGCTGAGCGGCGAGAGGACGGGACTTCTGGAGAACAAGGCCATCCACGGCCTGGGGAAGCAGAAGGCTCTCCAGCCACGGCCACACTGGAGAAACGCCCGAGGCGGCACTCCAGGGTTGAAAAGGACCAGCGTGTTTGCCCTGAGGCTTCCACGTCTCGGGCAGCTTGGTCCACTCGAGACATGGCTGGGCTTTCCAGGGCTGGTCAGAGCCTTCCTTAGAGCCCTTTCGAAGCTTCCTGAAGACGGAGATTTGTAGGCCTTATCCGGAATTTTGGGGATGCGGGCATAGTCTGCCCTGCTCTTGTTCACTCTGCCCTGGAGATCGGAGGCCGCTGGCTGGGCAGCCAGCTGGGAACACCTGTCGCGGTCCTGGCAGAGCCCGCAGAGCCCGCAGAGCCCCTGACCTCGGGTACATGTTTACAGGTGTCGGCATCCGCCTCTGCTCCGCGTCTACGTTACACGGAGGCACGCAGGCGAAGGTGCCCCTTCATAGACAAGCGTCGCTGTGTAACTCCCAGGGAGAGTGAAACGACGGGGTGAAAGTCAATGAACAGACAGCGTGCTACGCCCTAATAAACCACGACGAGGGTCAGCGTGGGGACGGAGGGGCGGTCAGCGCACTGGGTGGACGGCGGAGTGGCGACCGCATCCCTGTCCCAAACCTGGTGGCTTGAAACTCACGCCGGGTGCACGTGTGTGGATACTCGAGATCCCAGGAGGAGAACGGAGAAGGGACTGCAGTGTGGCCACCCCCTGCAGGGGTGGTTTCTCACTTTCTCTGCCACTGCCTCTGTTTCTGTCTCATTCCAGGGAGCACACGCACCCTAGGGCGAGAGCCTGTAAAGAGAAAGTGAAAACGCATCCCACGTGGAAACACCATTCCATGCTATCGGCAATACAGAGCTATCGGGCCGGGTGTGCGGGCAGCGAATAACCACCCCGCTCTTTACCGGGTGCCAGTCAGACCGGGCGTGTCAACACTAAACCACCACATTTACTCTTCACCTGGCGCAGGCGGGGCCTGTTGGTTCCAGGTGTGCTGGGAGGCCAGAGGTGGCAGCCCCTGCCTCTGAGGACTGGCGAGCCGCGGTCCTAGCCCCAGGGCTTCAGGCCGGGCTTGGCCTGCCGCGCGATCTTCACGTAGTGGACGTGCGAAGGGAGGGAGAAGGCGGGGTCCCAGCTGTACTCGGGCGACAGCAGCTTGGCGGGCTTGTGCAGGAGGAAGTACTTGTTCAGGTGCTTCTCGTAGCTGCTGTTGAGCCCGTTCCTGACGTCGTGAGCGACACCCTGCAGGTAGCTCTCCACGAGGCTCAAGAGCTCCAGGGGCGTGCCGCCCACGATCGAGCTGTCGTAGTAGAAGTCGCCCTGCCCGAGGGGGATGTAGGCTGCGGAGCCGGGCCTCCTCTCGTAGGGGAGGCGCTCGGTGCCCCTGAAGTACCACCACGCGTGCAGCTGAGCCACCGACGAGCCCAGGGCCTCCGCCCCGACGGCGCTCCTGAACACCTGCCTGACGGCCATGCTGAAGAGGAAGTCCACCTCGTCCTGGATGTGCGAGACGATGTGGTCGCCCAGGCTCCTCATGCACAGCACGTACGGGTCGTGCCACCAGCCCCCCTCATCTGCACGGAGCACCCTGAGCGTGCGCAGGTGGCTTGGCTGGAAGTCCGGCAGGCTGGAGAGGGCGTCCACCATGATGTAGAAGATGACCCGGTGACCCCGCAGGAAGTGCCTGTCTGCCGACCGCAGGAACTGCTCCAGGTACTCGTCTGCAAAGCTGGGGCACGAGGGAGACGCCTGAGGCAGTGCCGGGAGCACGGTGCGGGGCGCAGCAGCCAGTGGCTAACACAGGG